TGCCATCTGTAGCTTTTGTAACTAATTAAATTGCATATTCATACATGTACATGTGTGCAAAGGTACATACTGAGTAATTGGGGCATCTTCTAGGTTAACCAAAGTATTTCAATTAGATTAAATCTGATCAATTAACTAAAGGTGCAATCTTATGCATGTTTAAACATAAAAGCCCCACAGCTGCTAGCAGGAAAGTCTGTTAACTGCCTGGCTGGGTCATACTGGGAGCTGTAAGACATTTTTCTGCCTAAACACATGTAATACGATTTTGCCTGGAGGGAGCAGTCCTGTGGCCTAAGGAATTCTAAATCCAGGATCAGAGAGGGCATTTCTACCTCAGAGCCAAAATCTAGGCTCTTTCCCCACCCCCATGCATTTGGCATGAAAAAAAAAAATGCACTGACTGCTCTCCAGTGTCTGGAAGGGAACCTTGAAATGATTCAGTAGGTGGGGTATGAAGAATACTGGAGCAGCCAGGACATGAACTAGACCAGTGATGACAAACCTATGGCACTCGTGCCCGAAGGGGCATGCAGAGCCCTCTCTGCGATCGCCCCAGCAGCCATGCACATATTCCGAAAGATTAAGGGCTCCAGGCAGCAACATCACTCATTAGCCAGGACTTGCGGAGCTTTCGAGCTTTCGCATGGCCGGTCAGTGAGCTGCCAGGGATTAGCTTGGACTGTGATTTTAGCAGAAGGTAGGAAAGGTAGAAAATACACGCAGATGCCTTTTTCAGGGCCAGCCAAAAGCTGGTGGTCAGTGGAACATTGCCCCCTTGTGCTGTTGGTCAGCAAATTCAGGTTTTATTGCATTGTTGGCACTTTGCGATAAATAAGTGGTTCTGAGTTGCAGTTTGGGCACTTGGTCTCTAAAAGGTTCGCCATCACTGAACTGGACTGAAGCTTCTCTTTCTGTCCTTCTTTCTCCAAGGTGTTCTAAGCTAGGAAAAAAAGTCCATCAAGCCAGATGATGATGATGCAAAAGCAGCAGCATTTGGGAGCTTAAAGACATTGTGATAAGATAACGCCCAAGAGCATCATGCCAGCTTTCCCCCCACCTAAACATGCATAGCTTTGCACCCTAAAAGTTGTAGCTCTAAATGATAAGTATAACATCTCTTGGGTTTACCAATATTTGTTTCTGTTGTCTCTTTCTAGCTTGGATATTTCTTTGATTAAGAAGGAAGAAGGACTGCTGTGGCCAGAGCTGATCATTGGTGACTCTCGTGGTGAATTCATCATGGACCCAGCCCAGAGTAGTGCAGTAGCTGAGCGGCTAATGCATCTTACCTCTGAAGAAATGGTAAAGTCTACAAAAGAAAGCCCCTGATGTTAAGATAAGCAAATGTAGATGTATCAGATTACAGTATAACCTTGTGTATATTCACTCAAGCAAATCCTCTTGAGGGATGTCCTATAAATCTGTGTTCCTCCCTAGGGAGTATACCCAGGATCACAGTCTCAGAAACTGGTGTGTTACTGATCTTGCTCATCAGAATGCCACCTCTTAGCATGAATTTTTTCTGTTAAATATAACACAGATAAAGTCTGGATAAAATAAGATAATTGCTTGCTATGAAAGCCACAATTTCTTTCTCCTCCTATTGTGGTTGTTCCAAAGTAGATAAGGAAAGGTGACTTTGAATAGTACTGTATTCTGTTAATGCTAATCTGTCTGGTGAAATTATGCAACTGATTTATAAAATAAGTCTGGTCTATTTTATTTCTGTTCTTCAAACAAAATAGCATCAAACTTGATGAGAGGACAAAGATGAGCTGTTAATAACACCAATGCTGCTTTGAGTTCTCACTCCTCTGTCCATAATCAGTAGTTACAGAAATACAGGTTAAGGCCACTGTGGTGCGTCTTCCTGCTCCCCAGCCAACCTGGTGATGTGGAATGTGGGTGGGGAAACCCGCAACTACACATTTCAGACAGGGGAAGGGAAGCTTGCTGTTATTGGTAGCATCCATTTCTTTCCCATAATTTAGGCCACAGATACTTAATAAAGATTTGCTTTTAGCTGTATCTAAGTAAGTAACAAGCTGAGTGCCTTGATTATAGCACTGGATGATAAATTGTATCTTATTCTCAAAAGCCTGTGCTGATTGTGCTATATTAAGACTCTTGTAGGAACAGGTGGTTGGGTTTTGGTAACTTAGTATAACATGGCCCTGCAGTGATCTTGATAATGTCTCTTTCTCCAGTAATTTTTTTACTAGTTAAAAAAAAAAAGGAAGTAAGATGATTTAAGATTTCGGTTTCCAAGACTCCAAGCATTGCTGACGCTGCTATGAGGAGAGTGTCCGTGACAGCTTTAAAGGTTAACAAATGTACTGTGACATTAAGTATTTGTAGGCTGAAGCTTTCTTTAACAGTTTGAGGAAAGACTAAGCAAGTATGTCTTCCAGCATTTCACAAATGAAAATAGGGCCATTGTTCTGTAAGCTCCCTATTTTTATCCAAAGAATTGTTCCCTGTGCCTCTCTTGCCCCTGATTTTGGGAACGAGACACTAAGGGAGACAGGATGTGCTTGTGTTTAGAATTGAGTGTGAAAATGCATTTAGAACACAGACTTTTTACCATGTATAGACTAGAAAAAACAGTACCCATATTTCCAAGCATTATTGCCATTAAGAAGTAGCAATTCTTCACCTATAAACATGCATGTAAAGGGTAGAAATGTCATCTTTTTCTATTTTGACAGTGTGGCTGCAGATAGGTGGAAGGGAACTGTTCTGCACTGAATGGTCTTGATTATGCATCCTGTGGGAGAAAATGCATTTTATATTTCATGTAATTGCATATTTTAGATATTGTCAAATCCTGGACTTGTAGGATTGTAGGGGTTGTGGGAAACTGAACAACTGTACCATATTAATTGCTCAACTTCTTTTGGAACAGCAGTATTCAAACTTTTGACCTGAGCAGAATTCTTTCTGACAATAAGTGGAGTCTCCTGAAGAATTCTATGTAATTTAAAATACTGCATACAAAAGTAGTTCTGGTGTTTAAAAAAGCCTTATTTATATTACATTTGTTAAAAGAGACCATTTTGTCTATTTGGTATATGCAGCATAACACCCACATACACACACAACCCCACCTTGTTAGATTGCGCAAGGAAATATTTCTTTAGTAAAGCTGTTAAGAGTGAAAGTAAACAATTGCTTAATCATATTGCTTGAGTAATAGTAGTTGTAACACGCCATCAAGTCATCTCCCATTTATTTATTCATTCATTCATTCATTCATTCTATTTCTATGCCACCCAATTAGCTATAGGCTCTCTGGGTGGCTTACATATAATCAGTGTCACAATGCAATACCATAAAATCAACAAATACAATAAAACCAATAATATCAGTAAACAAACAATAAATAATGGCAAGCATATGAATGTCCTCCACAATATCCTGTCCTTGACAGCCCTGCTTAGCTTTCTAAATTCAAGGCTGTGGCTTCTGTTAGGGAATTGACCCATCTCATATTTGGCCTTCCCCTTTTTCTACTTTGACTTTTCCTAACATGATTGTACCGACTCCTGCCTTCTCATGGTATGTCTGACATGCAACAACCCACATAAGTAATAATAGCAGTTAGCACATGAGAGAAATACATGCTCTAGGACCTCCAAACAAGCCAATACAGAGCTAGCTTCATGGCCTTCATTGAGGAGAGTATTTCACAGAAAAAATACTTTTCCTGTTGCAAAGCCCTTTAGCACTTAAAATGGATATTGTATTCGAGCTAGCATTTATTTTGCATGCTGAATTTTATGACTTTTACCTTTCATTTATTTTAATTTAGTGTCTGAAATGTTCTGTCTGTAGCAAACAGATTTAGCAGAGCTAGGCTGAACATTAATTATTGACTAAATAAGCCTGGAAAAATCTAATCATCTACCTTATGGCAGCCTCAAATAATTTCTATATATACAATTTGACTTACTAGGGAAGTTGCTGCCTCCATATCTCAGTCATATGAAATATGAAAATATTTGCCTATTAAGGAAAGATTTTTCTCTCATTTTCCATCTGTCAACAGATTATGGAAATGTTATTTTCAAATGAATAAATGCTTATGAGATTCCCTTTGGTTTAAATGTGGAAAAGAAAGTCCATGACCATGCAGTTGATTCCCATAACCAAAAAACTAATTTGATGGAAGTAAAATTTAAATGCTCCAGGATTTAAACAAAGGTTGATTTGTAACAAGTGATTAGTTTTATTTGGAAGACTGTTTTTTTAATACTTTAGATAAAATTGCACTTAAAACAGGTCTGTGTAAACTTGAGGCTTAAAGGATTAATTTTGCTTTGTATTAGAACCCCCGGAACTCCCACCCTGTGACTGCTGCAAAAGACATACCATTCAAATGCAAGAATTGTGCCCAAGGCTTTGTTTACAGTACCAGAACTGAAAAGAACTTTCAGTCATTCCCCACAAAAATATTTTCTTGGTTACCTCAAGCTTCCTTCATTTCAGCATTATACACTGTGGGGTTCACACAGTTACCTTCTGCCATTCTCTGACCTAATTTGTGTGTTTTGAGCACAGAGTTTGGGGAGAGTTTACACCCTAAAAATCTGCTACACTTCTATGCTCATTTACTTGCAAATGCTGTGGTTTTATTATTAATTTCTGTAGAACTTTTGGAAACTGTCCATGGAACCTCAGCTATTGGGCGAACTCATAATGAAATAAATAATAAAAGTTATCACAGAGGAAACAGTTATGTACTATGGTTTGTCTTGATAAGTTGTTTGTGGTTAATAAACCATGGTTGGGTTCAACCCATAGCTTGGCTTGTTCTTTTATGCGAACTCAGTCAATATTTGTTATCAAATCTTGGTTTGAATGTGCAACAAATATATATCACCATTCATACATGTGTTGTATATTCTCCAATCTTATATTGGCTTCATAACACTTAAAGAGTTCAGGTTATTGTATTTAGTGCATATTCTCCATGATAAGTCTATGATCCTTTCTGTCAGAACTGAATGCCTTAGGATGGAGTAGTGACCATTGAGCTAGTTCAAATGATGTGATTGTGTCATCAGAATTTTAATGTAGCACCATCAAAACAACTTAAATGATAAGTTTTACTGCCTCGGCTAATTAATAAATTGGAACAATTTATTGGATCATTAGGCCACCATTTTTTCCTACTAGCTTCCTAGATAACCCCTAGGTAGCTCTGCTTTATTTTGTGGTTGCCTTTTGGGGGCAGCGTAGCATCCAAGAAAGCCAGTTTAGTGGTTAGACTGTCAGACTTGGTCTAGAAAAACCTGGGTTCTAGTTCCCACCCAGCCATGAAGCTCACAGAGCTGTTAAAGAATAACATGGAAAGGAGGAGAATCACGTGTGCTTCCTTAAGGAAAAGATGGGATATAAATGTAACAAAAATCAATCCAACAGTGGTTGGTGGCACATGCAACTAAGAAGCTACGTTGCTCCAGTTCCTTACTAATCTAACTCCTTGTTTGGGTGGTGAGCACGTTTGGCTATTTAAGATAATTCATCACCTCCAACTTCCTATCCTATAGTTATCTTTTTCATTTTTTCAGAGTGTATTTTTGTGTTCTTCGTGACTTTTTGGAGAGCCTAGAAACCTAAATAAAATAATACTCTGGTTTCAGAATCCAGACCCTAACAAAGAGAACCCTCCATGTAATGCTCAGGAGCTGGAAGAATGTGACATTTTTCTTGAAGACAGTACAAGTTTGTGCAGATTTGATGGTAACAGCTTGAACATCACTCATGTGGTAAGTAAAAGGTTATATTCTTCTACTCCTTTATCATTTGATTACTAATATCAAAATGGTTCTTTTTCTCTTTGGCTTACTGAGAAATGCTGGGAGTTGTAGGACTTTTTTCTGTCTAAATACGCCCAAGATTGCATCCTTGTGTTAATAATCCACTCAACTCACCTATCTGCTCTTGATTAGGGAATAAATAAAGTGAGAGCACAGCCTTGGTGGTACTCCTGGACCTGTTTTGTGATACCACTGAGAATGCTGCCTTTCTGGCCAGAATAGCCCTGAAAAGTACAGTGTTACAGTGACTATTTTTTCTTTTTGGAAGGACGAACTCAGGTGATGCTAGGAGACTACTGTTGGGATACCTCAGGATTCCGTCTTTCCCCTCATGGTTTTTAATATCTGCATGAAATTAGAAAGAAGCAAGTGTCATCAGTATGTAAAGGAGATGCAGCTCTATGTCTTATTTCCATCTACTAGTTAAAGGGATTCTGATCAGGTGTCTGGAAATAGGTTTGGGATGGATAAAGGCAAACAAGCTGAAATCTGTTCTAGATGAACTGGAGGTACAGTGGCTGCTGGCAGGTACCGTAAAGCCCTGAGTGGTTTGAGAACAAGAAAGACTGCTCAGTCTGAGAAGTCTCAAGATTGGCTTTGAAGGCTCTGCTCATTTGCCTGCCATCAGAACTTACTACATTGAGTAAGTCCAGACAGGGTGCTTTTGGTGGTTTCCTTTGCTTGCTTGCTTGTTTGCTTGCTTGCTTATTTATTTAACTTCTATTCTGCCCAGTAGCTGAAACCCTCTGAGCAGTTTACAACAATCCATTAAAATACAATCTAAAATACCTCACATTATAAAAAAGGGTTTTTTTTAAAACCACATTTAAATAGAAAGTTCCAGTAACTTAAGCAAAATAAAAATGGAATTCCATCAGCAGATACACATGGCCTTTACTTTGTCAGTTCTTAAATTGTTTCAGGCATCTTTTATTGACAAGTTCTGTACTCTTTTAAGAGCTTTTTCAATATTTGTAGTTGTAACTGTTTTGACTTAATCCAGAACTTTGCTCTGAATCAAGTTAATAGCCCCAAATCACTTCAAACAGCCTGGCTAGGGAGAAGAGTGATATTTTTAAGCTTCTAGTCAAATACTAGAATACAGTCTCCTGTATGAGACAAGCAGGTATATATTCCCCAACACGACACTGTATTGACTGACAATTCTTGGAACTAGTGAAGTAGTTTTTCATTTTTATGGTCAATTATGTCGGGGCTGTACCTTCCTGGATTTTTTGAAGCTGTCTGCAGCTGTTTCAAAGAATAACATAGTCAGTCAAAACATCTACTACTAATTCATTTTAGTTATAGCTGTAGAGGCTTTACCCCCCCCCCTTTTTTTTCCCTCCTTGATAGAGGAACTAATTGATCTTTTGTGTGCTATTAGGTTTGGCAATTTTCTGAATAAAGGTCATTTGCTTACCATAGAATTCCCAGTTGCATACTAATGCCACTTTTACATGACTCATTTTCAGTGCACTTAGTTCTTTTTCTTCCTGTTAAATAGTTGTGTGCGGGAATAACAACTCATCTTGTTTGCATCTAATCCGAAAGGTTGCTGCCATTCATTATTTGGGGCGGGGGGGGGGGGAATCATGTACAAAGATAATTGTGACAGAAACAGAGCTTCTAGCCTAGTTAACAAGCCATGAATGCATGTTCATGAAAGGAGCAGGTTTCTCTTTTATGTATAGTGATCAAATAATTACCAGTTAGCAACCAGGGAAGACAAGCGGGATGCAAATGGTTTTGTTCTTAATACCTGTTTGTCAAATTTTCAAAAAGTGTACCTTGGCACCTTTTAAGCTAGATGCTTAAAATGACTGATGGTTTTAGTTACATTTGTGTCTCTAAAATTGGACGCGTAAGGCATTTGAAATTATACCATGTTTACAGTGCAAAAATATGTGTGTATACTCAAATATAAATCTCACTGGGTTCAATGGAGTTACTTCCAGCTAAATAGGCATAGGATTGTAGTACAGTCCTACGTACAGTTATACAGCAAAAAGTTCTACAGTTCTGAGAATGCCACGTCCAGAATGGCTGGCCAGAAGAATCCTGGGAGTTATAGGATTTTTTTCTGTCTAAACAGATTTGGGATCAGATTCTTGTGTTGTCTGCTTAAATTTTGAGAGCCAGCGTGGCACAGTGGTTAGAGTGTGGGACTGGGAATCTGGGACCTCCAGGTTCTAGTCCCTGCTCAGCCATGAAACTTAAATGGTGACTTTGGGCCAGTGACAGACTCTCACCCAAACCTTCCTCGTAGGGTTATTGTTAAGATGATAACAACAATGTTGTGGGGATAAGATTGAGAAGGATTGCAAGCCACCTTGCGTTCATTAAAAGTAAAAAATGCAGGATATTAATATAGTTTCCAAAAAGTATAGCTCTGGAAGTCAAGAGCATAGTCAACTCATTTGTCATGGGATTAGCCTAAAGAATTTTTGTGTTTAGAGCTGTTGTTGTTGTTTTAATTCTACAGGCTAACCCATCTTCAAAGATAGACTAATGTTTCACTGCTGGAAGAAGCTGGCCACTATAAAAGTATAGCCAGTAAGACTATGACTTGGATTACTTGGGTTCTTCCTTCAGCACACCAGGAAATGCAAGTAATAATAATTTAGAAAATGAGGGTTGCCCTGGATCATCTATTATAGCACTCTTGGCCACAACAAACACTGTCTTAGAGCAAGCACAGGGAACCTTTTTAGCTCCTCGGTAGTGATGTGTGAGGAATCCATTGAGGGGGAGGAATTGGTCAGATACCCTGGGCTTGGCTCCCTGCACTTGGGTCCACTTAGACGCAAACCTGAGTCACCAAGAATCGAGCCCCATGCACTATGCAAGCAGTGCCCTTTTTCAGCCAAGTGCGCTTGCCATTTGGGCAGCTGCTGCTGATGCCAAAGAAGGCCTGCAGGTGTTTGCAGACTTCCTCTTGGCTTACTTTGGAAGACCAGGCACAAGAGGAAGCCTGCAAATACTTGGAGGGATGGATTCTGATAGGGTTTGCCCCATTATTACTCCTGGTGCCAGGTGGTTCTCCCCGCCTCCCCAGTGCCATTCCAGGAGGCTGGATGACATCAAGGAGAAGGGTCCCTTCCTTTTCCATGGCATCATCTACCCCTGTAGAGCAACCCATGGTGCTGTATGTCTCTGCACAGAAAGCGGACTTGGTTGGTGCTTGCAGGAGTCATTCCCTGCTAGGTCTCTTCCTTTCATGTGCCACTTATGCCCAGCAACACAGGAAACAAGTGTGCCTGAGGAATGGCTTCTTCACATGCTTGCCAAGCTAGGCACTTTCTTCATGAACTATACACATCCCAATTTCAAGGAAAGAAGTGTGTGAAGGGGATCCACAGACACTTTAGAAGAAAGACATGATACAAACTTAATAAAAGTAGCTTTGTTTCCAGCCTGTAAACATTGGAAGAATGTGCTGCCTGGTGGCTTTTGCAGTAGCCCAAGATAGGGTTAATTAAATCTTTTATTTATTTATTTATTTAAACCCTTTTTATGCCGCCCCATTTGCAAAAAGCCTCGGGGCGGCTTACAACAATAATAAACAAACATAAATAAACAATTTGTACAATTAGAGTTAAAAAGCCGGAAGCATTTCGGCATATACCTAAAAATCCTATATATACAATTCATAAGTAAACAATTAAAATAACTTTTAAATAAAAAGGTCTTGGCCTGGCGCCAAAAAACAAATAACGACGGCGCCAGGCGGACCACTCTGGGGAGCGCATTCCGTAGGTGGGGCACCCTCTCAAAATACCCTGTTCTGGTTAACTGCCAGCCTTAATAAACAAGGGCCATGAAATATGATTGATGGCTTATTAGACATGACATACCCAGTGCTTGACAGCACAGCTTATCTTTGTGGATCATGTGGACATGCTTTTAAAGCTGCGCTGCACCTTTTCCTTATTATTATTTCAGGCCTTAGCTATCTGATCTTGCTATAAGTCAAATGTATCTCTTTAAACTGCTTTCCCCTGCTTCAGAATATGCCCTACAAAATTTGGTCTTACCAATAAAAGTTGATATTGGAATGGGACAAAAAACAGGTAGAAAGCTTTAACAGAAGGCCTGTCCTAGCTTCGCAAAATGAACATTTGTCATCACAAGCCTTAGTCATGCTGAGCCTTCTGGATTAGCTGTCTATGCTGTGATCACTCCTTGAATATAAATCAGCCTTGGATTTGGAGAATATTATGCATAGCTGTTACAAATAGGTAGTGTCTGCTCCAAGCAGTCTTATATTTTACTTTGAAATTAACTGCCTGCAAGAGCGAAAGCGAAGATGGAAACTTCTAATGTGATTCAGGCCCATACTCTTGGTGCAGGGGCTGTATATTTAATGCAGTACACACAGAAAATGCAATTAAGCTGTTACCAGCTACTGTGGATGCCAATTAGGCCTTATGAGACACATGCTTCTATTTATTCTGTAAAAGTCTCTTAAAAATAGAGGTGCACATCGTGTTAACATCTAGACTGTAGGCATGACTAAATCTATTTTTTATGCTTATTTCTTGGGCCAGATCATGATTATGTATGTGTTTGCACATTTTGAGTCAAAAGACCACCTTAAATAAATGGATCTTTTTTGGGCAAAACCCTATCTTCACAAGAGGCATATTCATTTACTCAGAATGGAAGGAAATAACTGTCATTAGACCCTCTTTATGTTTTCTTCCACTTTTTGTAGGGATCAATACGGTGGTATTGACTGCTTCCATGTTCTTTGTGTGACTGAAAAATAGATTGCTATCTTATGATCTGTAGTTGTTCTTTGCAGACTGGTTTGAGTATTTTGTTTTTCAAACTATATGAAGAATTAAGACACCCTTTTCTGCTGCACAGGACTTTTCTGTTCTTCAACTGAAGGTCCTCAGCCAAATGTTTGGGGGGTAAATTGCTATGCAAACAATTTTCCCCCT